AAAAAAAAAAAAAAAAATTAGCCCGGTGTGGCAGCGCACACCTATAATCCCAGCTACTCCGGAGGCTGAGGCAGGAAGAATCACTCGAACCCGGGAGGCGGAGGTTGCAGTGAGCCGAGATCACGCCATTGCACTCTAGCCTGGGCGACAGGGCAAGACTCTGTCTCAAAAAAATAAAAAATAAAAATATTTTATCAGGTATGTTAGGCGTTCTGAACCAGGATGGTGTCACCAAGTTCATAAAAGTGTGATTAAAGCAAATCCCTGGCTGGGCGTGGTGGCTCACGTCTGTAATCCCAGCACTTGGGAAGGCCAAGGCAGGTGAATTGCTTGAGCCCAGGAGTTCAAGACCAGCCTGGGCAGCATGAGGAGACCCCCGTCTCTACTAAAAATACAAAAATCATTAGCCTGTTGGGCGCAGTGGCTCACACCTGAAACCCCAGCACTTTGGGAGGCCGAGGCAGGCAGATCCCGAGGTCAGGAGTTCGAGACCAGCCTGACCAACATGGCGAAACCCCTTCTCTATTAAGAATACAAAAATAGCTGGGCATAGTGGCGCGCGCCTATAATCCCAGCTACTCAGGAGGAGGCTGAGGCAGGAGAATAGCTTGAACTCGGGAGGCAGAGGTTACAGTGATCTGAGATCACACCACTGCACTCCAGCCTGGGGGACAGAGTGAGACTCTGTCTCAAAAAACAAAATCATTAGCCTGGCATGGTTGCACATGCCCGTAACCCCAGCTACTTGGGAGGCTGACGTGGGAGCATCACTTGAGCCCAGGAGTTCAAGGCTGCAGTGAACCGAGATTGTGCCACTACAATCCAGCCTGGGCGACACAGCGAGACTCTGTCTCAAAACAAAACAAAACAAAAAAGCAATTCCCTAACTGTAGGGGGTGGAAAGTATCTTTCACATAGGAAATATCCTCTCATGTTTTATACCACTTGACACATAGAGATTTCACTGAGACAAACCCCATATATGTTCTGGGACTTTCCCCTACCCTCCAGCACTCTGTCTTAGCAGACATGATAGATAAATTATTTCCTGCTCACACCAGCATATCGTTGTACAGGGCCAGCACATTATCCTGTGAGGTGTTGAAAAGATCAGGCGGGGCGAGGTGGCTCATGCCTGTAATCCCAGCACTTTAGGATGCTGAGGTGGGTGGATCACTTGAGGTCAGGCGTTTGAGACCAGCCTGTCCAACATGGCAAAACCCCATCTCTACTAAAAATACAAAAATTAGCTGGGTGTGGTGGTTCATGCCTGTAATCTCAGCTATTCGGGAAGCTGAGGCAGGAGAATCACTTGAACCCAGGAGGCAGAGGTTGCAGTAAGCCAAGATTGCGCCATTGCACTCCAGCCTGGGTGACAGAGCCAGACTCCATCTCAAAAAACAAACAAAACAGAATTTGTGTTTTCTACTGTATGAGACATTGGCAGTCAAGTCTGCTGTTACTTGCAGGCAAAAGCACTCCTAACGGAAATCTACTACTAACTGAAACCTACTAATTCTGTGATAAGCCTTCTGCTAATCCCTTCCCAAGCATAATTTAGTATGTAACTATCACAAAAATTCCACGAGTTAAATAGTGCTATGACATCCATTTTATGGAGGAGGAAACTGAGGCTCAGAGAGGTGGCATCCCTTATTGGTAGTCACACAGCAACTAAGTGGTAAAGTCTGAGTCCCCCCGTCTGTGCCCTTGACCTCCTGGCATGTGACCACTGACCCCACCATGCCAGGTGCACAGTAGAGAGCCCCTAACGTCCAATGAATGTGAAAATGCCTCTCCCCCAGCCCCAGGTCACAGAGACACTCCCTACAACACTGTCATTCTAAAACCTATGGGTTTTTTCCGAAACAGGGTCTCGTTCTGTTTCCCAGGCTGCAATACAGTGGCATAAGCATGGCTCACTGCAGCCTCCTGGGCTCGAGCCATCCTCCTGCCTCAGCCTCCCAAATAGCTGGGACCAGAGGCACACACCACCACACCTGGCTAATTTTTTATTTTTTATAGAGTTGGGGTCTCACTATGTTGCCCAGGCTGGAACATAGATCTTACAGGTTTAGAAAGTGAGCCGTGGAGCATAATCGAGTTGGAGTGTCAAGAGTTTGAGACTGACTGCCATCCCCGTTTCCTTCACAACCCCAGTAAATGCCAATAAGATGGAAGGTTTCAAAGTGTATCTGGAACCAGGGCATGAGAAATGACGAAGCCACCAAAGAAACAAACTGGCCTCAGCAGCAAGAAGAGTGGAGGCTACAGGACTGGAGCCACAGGACTAGCCTTCCAAGCTCCTCCTCCCTCCCACCCCTGGGGCTAGAATATTGGAGATGCTGGGAGTAGTGCAGCAGGTGACTTCCACAGACCTCAGAGGTGAGTGTGGCGACAGCAGACACAGTCAGACCGGACACAGGGGGGCAGACTCTGGATGTATTCTCCTCTTCCCCCTCCCTGAGCTCACCCCAGCCCCAACCACCATCAGAAAAGGACCTGACTTGGCAACATTTCAGCCCTTCTCATCATCCCGCTGAGACTCCTGAGATGGGAGAGAAGAGAGAAAAAAAAATTAAAATAACAATAACAATAACGGCTCCATAAAAACAAGTGTTTATATAGGGTTTACCATGCCTCAGGTACTGTTCTACTGTTTTCCATGGACCACAATGCCCATTCTAGTTTCCTCACTATTTTTTCTTTTCCTTCTTTTTATTTTTTTGTTTTTTTGAGACGGAGTCTCGCTCTGTCACCAGGTTGGAGTGCAGTGGTGCAATCTCGGATCCCTGCAAGCTCCACCTCCCAAGTTCACTCTATTCTCTGGTCTCAGCCTCCCGAGTAGCTGGGACTACAGGTGCCCGCCACCATGCCTGGCTAATTTTTTGTATTTTTAGTAGAGACAAGGTTTTACCGTGTTAGCCAGGATGGTCTCGATCTCCTGACCTCGTGATCCGCCCACCTCGGCCTCCCAAAGTGCTGGGATTACAGGTGTGAGCCACCACGCCTATCCCCTTTTTTTTTTCTTGTAGAGACAGGGTCTTGCTCTGTCACCCAAGCTAGAGTGCAGTGGCCCAGTCAGAGCTCATTGCGGCCTCTAACTCCTGAGCTTAAGCAATCCACCCACCTCAGGCTTTCAATGTGCTGGAATTACAGGCGTGAGCCACTGTGCCTAGCTTATTTATTTATTTATTTATTTATTTATTTATTTATTGTAGAGACAGAGTCTTGTTATGTTGCCCTGGCTGGTCTCGAACTCCTGGGCTCAAGTGATCTGCCATCTCAGCCACCCAAAGTGCTAGGATTGTGCCCTGCCTCCTTGCTATTTTTCAAACTCACTGAACACAGTCCTACCCCAGGGTCTTACAGATGAGGAAACTGAGGCTCAGAAAAGGGTGTAGGTGACTTGTCATGATTCTAACAGAGAGGTAGGATCAGGACTGAGACAGAGCCCCGCCCCATCCTCCTACCCGGCCCCCACCCCTCCCACCACAGCCTTGGGAGCTCCCGGCTCACCTCCAGCTCCACCCCTTGCCGGCTACCTTTTCTTGATCTCCTCATAGATGACGCTCACAATTTTCTGCAGCCCAGACTCGTTCACAAAGCCATCACCCCTCTGGGCACAGAGGGGAGAAAGCACACAGGTCTCCCACCCCAGGACCTCAGCACCACCCCGCCTCCCTGTCTCGGTCCCTTACTCAGAATCACCTTCTTGGAATGGACCAGTCTCCCGTTCACAAACACCTCAAACTCCCCTGTAGCCTGGGCAGCTCTGACCTCCTCCTGGGAGGAGATGGCAGGGGTAGGGGAGGCTAAGATCTCCCCTCCAAGCCCTTTGGGGATCTCAGATCCCTGACCACTCCCCTCTCCCCCAGGACCCCCACACACTTACAAAGAGTAGGTGATTTGGAAATTGCTGCTCCAGGCTGTTTTTCAGTAGAATGTACTGAGGGCAGGAGATGGGGTCATGCGGTCGCAGGGGAGGGGAAACAGGGACTCCTCCCAGTCTTCCTGCCTCAGGCTCCCCCTACCTCCAAAGCCAAAACTACTCACCCGAAGGCTATAGCTTCAGAGGCCACTGGAGGCCAAGAGCAGGAGGAGAAAGTTAGAGAGAGACCAGGGGAGACACCGCATCAGTATCTTCCCCAGCTCAGGGGACCCTCTGAACACCTGAGTTAGATCATTTTCCTCCCCTGTTCAGAACCCTGAAGTAGCACCATCTCACGCAGGGGAAAAACCAGTCCGTCCCGTGGCCTGCAAGTCACCACAGGATCTGCCTTCTCACCCCTCTGTCCCCATCTTCTCCCACTTCTCCCCAACTCATTCAGCCTGTGCCAGCCACAGAAGCCCCTAGCTCATCTTTCTTTCTCTCTCTCTGTTTTTTTTTTTTTTTTTTTTTTGAGACGGAGTCTCGCTCTGTTGTCAGGCTGGAGTGCAGTGGCGTGATCTTGGCTCACTCTGCCTCCCAGATTCACGCCATTCTCCTGCCTCTGCATCCCGAGTAGCTGGGACTACAGGCGACCCCCACCACGCCAGGCTAAGTTTTTGTATTTTAATAGAGACAGGGTTTCACCATGTTGGCCAGGATGGTTTCGATCTCCTGACCTCATGATCCACCTGCCTTGGCCTCCCAAAGTGCTGAGATTACAGGCATAAGCCACCGTGCCCGATTTTTTTTTTTTTTTTTTTTTTTTTTTGAGACAGAGTCTTGCTCTGTTGCCCAGGCTGGAGAGCAGAGGTGTGATCTCGACTCACTGCAACCTTCCACCTCGTGGGTTCCAGCGATTCTCCCACCTCAGCTTCCCAAATAGCTGGGATTACAGGCATGCACCATCACACCCAGCTAATTTTTGAATTTTTTGTAGAGATGGGGTTTCACCATGTTGCCCAGGCTGGTCTCGAACTCCTGGCCTCAAGTGATCCACCAGCTTTGGCCTCCCAAAGTGCTGGGATTACAGGCCTGGCCCCCAGCTCATCTTTCAACACCCCAGGTATGCCCTGCCTCAGGGCCTTTGCACTGGCAGTTCCCTCAGCCGAATGCTCTCCCCACAGCATCCACACAAGTCCTTCTCTCCTTCCTTCAGGGCTTCTCTCACATATCCCCTTCTCAGTGAGGCCTTCCTGACCACCCCAGCTAAAACTGCAACCCCCCAAAATGCCTTTTGTTCACAGTACGTATCACCTCCTCACATATGAGATCATTTTCCAGGGGTCATATTATTGTTTATTGCTTGCCCCTCCACACCAGCCCGTGGGAGCCACAAGGACAGGGATCTCTGTCTTGTTCACTGCTGTGTCCCTGATGCCAATAGGGCCTGGAACGTGGTGGGTGCTGAAGAAGTAGTTCTCAAATGAATGAATGAATCCATGAATCCATTGAGTCAGAGAAAGAGACAGAAAAGAGAAGATGGAGAGAAAGAAAGAGGCCAGAGATGAGGGAACCGAAATAGGGAGGAGAAACACACAACACTCTGGGAAAGGAAAGACACAGGCTAGGCACGGTGGCTCACACCTGTAATCCCAGCTCTTTGGGAGGCTGAGGCAGGAGGACTGCTTGAATCTAGGAGTTCAAGAACAGCCTGGGTAACATAGTGATACTGCCCCCCGCATCCCATCCCCAACCTTGTCTCTACAAAAAATTAAAAAATTAGGGGCCAGGCGCAGTGGCTCATGCCTGTAATCCCAGCACTTTGGGAGGCCAAGGCAGGTGGATCACAAGGTCAGGAGATAGAGACTAGCTTGTCCAACATGGTGAAACCCCGTCTCTACTAAAAAAAAGTACAAAATTAGCCGGGCGTGGTGACACATGCCTGTGGTCCTAGTTATTCCGGAGGCTGAGGCAGGAGAATTGTTTGAACCCAGGAGGCAGAGGTTGCAGTGAGCGGAGATCACGGCATTGCACTCCAGCCTGGGCAACAAGAGTGAAACTCTGCTCGAAAAAAAAAAAAAAAAAAAGGCAGGCATGGTGGTGCACGCCTGTAGTCCCAGCTACTCAGGAGGCTGAGGTGGGAGGATCTGTTGAGCCCTAGAGGTCGAGGCTGCAGTGAGCTGTGAGTGCAAAATAGCACTCCAGCCTGGGCAATAAAGCAAGACCCTGTCTGAAACAAAAACAAAAACAAAACAGAGAGAGTGAGGTGGGGAGACAGAGAGTGGGAGAGACTGCCTGGGCAGAAGAGGAGAAAGTGAGAGAGAGAGAGACAAGGCGCCAGAGAGGCTTCCAGGGCAGGAGAGAGGCTGGGAAGGGAAGCCAGAGCACCCATCATGTGCGGTGTCTTTGTGTCGGTTTTGCTGGGGAGCAAAGCAGGTAGCTCTGCTCAGCACCCCATCCCCAGCACAGGCCTGGCACTTGGCCCGCGGGGATGAATGAATGAAGCTCAGATCCAAAGCAGGGATTTGAACCTGAAGTTCTCCCGCCCCAAAGAGAATGAGAGACAAGAGCGAGTTTCCAATCTAGGAACTGGGACTCTGGGGCTCTACCTGAATCCCTCCCCTGGCCCTACCCCAACCCTGACCTCCACGTCCTCGGAGACCCAGCCCCCACCGCCAGCCCTGTCCCCGGGAGTTGGGAGAGGCGTGTGTGAGGTCCTCACCAGTAGGTCACTCGAATCAGGACCCTCTTGTCCAGCGCGAAGTTCTCGCTGGTGGAGACCAAGGTTTCCGTAGAATTCTGTAAGGAGAGGGCCGACGGGATGGTCCCCAGGATGGGCGCGGGGACAGGGCTGGGAATGTGGGGATCTGCCAGCCCGGTGGCCGACGGGTCTGCCCTCAAGGTGAAGTCCAGGGTGGGCCCGGATGAGTTCGCGGCCAGAGGAGTGTGAGTGGGAAGGCGCCCCAGGGCGGGCCCGGCCTCGCTGGAGACCGACGGGATGAGCTTCAGGCTCGGGGCCGGCTCAGGGTCCTCCTCGGGCGACAAAGGCGGCTCCGGAGCAGGTTCCAGGGGCGAATCCAAAGATAGGGCCGGGGCCGGGTAGGAGTCCAAGGCGGGGAGCGCGGTCCGAATCCCCGCCAGGACCTGGGCGGGGTCTGGGGCTGGGGCTGGGGCTGGGACCCGGACTGGAGGAGTCAGGGTCCGAGCCGGAGTCAGGACCGGAGTTGGGTTCCGGACGGGAGCAGGAGTCGGGACCGGAGTTGGGTTCCGGACGCGAGCAGGAGTCGGGACCGGAGTAGGGATCCAGGCCCGAGAAGGAGGCGGAACCAGACCGGGTACCCGGGCCAGAGCGGGAGTCGGGACCTGAGTGGGGATGTGGGCTGGAGCGGGAGGCTGGACCAGAGCGGGAAGCCGGGCCGGAGACGGAGTCAGGACTGGAGTCTGGGTCCGGATGGGGGTCCGAGTCCGGACTGGAGTCGGGGTCCGGAGTGGAGTCGGTGTCCGGGTCGGGGTAGAAGCCCGGACTGAGGTTGAGGTCCGCGCCGAGGAGGGGGCTGGGGTCCGCGCCTGGTTATTCATGGAGCCCAGGGGGAGTCCCGCCCGCCTTCCCTCTTCGGGCGGGGAGAGCGTCTCTCACACCGGGTTCTGAGACGGGGCGCGACCACGGGGGCTCTGTTACACCGAGTTCCACCTGGCCCCGGGGTTCCACCGCTTTCGAAGGGCGTGCGACCTCCGGACCTCGCTGCGTAATTCCCGCCCCCTTAACCCCCGACGCGAGGCTGAGAAACACAGATTGCCCCAGTGCCGCCGCAGCTGTCGGTGGCACTCAGGTGTTCAGCATATGTGTACTGAGTGCCTGCTGCATGTACACTTCTCTGTGGGGTGAATTTGGGGACAGAGCAGGGATCAGGAAAGCTCTGGTCCCTGCCCTCACCAGGCTCCCTGTCCAGTGGGGGACACATACCCATTACCAAAGAGCCACAGCCCAGTGTTCAGGGCTGGGATGAGTGAGCCCAGGAGCTGTGAGATCCCAGAATGTGGGGAAAAGAAAGAGAGATCAGACTGTTACTGTGTCTATGTAGAAAAAAGTAGACATAAGAGACTCCATTTTGTTCTGTACTAAGAGAAATTCTTCTGCCTTGAGATGCTGTTAATCTGTAACCCTCGCCCCAACCCTGTGCTTGCACAGACATGTGCTGTGTTGACTCAAGGTTTAATGGATTTAGGGCTGTGCTGGATGTGCTTTGTTAAAAAAGTGCTTGAAGGCAGTATGCTTGTTAAAAGTCATCACCATTCTCTAATCTCTAATCTCAGGGACCTCTGCCTAGGAAAGCCAGGTATTGTCCAAGGTTTCTCCCCAAGTGATAGCCTGAGATATGGCCT